CTGAGAAATGTGGAAAGAGGAAGACGAGGGAGGGAAGACAGAGCAGAGAGGAAGAAGAACAGAAGAGAAGTGATGTTAGTCACTCATTCATTCTGGTGTAATTGAACGAGTTTCAGACTGATTTGAGTGAAAGGTGATCGTGAATCGTCTGCGTGGGTTAGAATATTTTGTCTAAATAATGTCAGGAAATGTCTCAAACGCGGCCTCTGTTTATTTCAACACAGCAGGAAGCTGAGGAGGAAAGCGGTTTGAGAAAGAAACTCACTCTGTATGACCTTTATGGGATGTCACCACAGAGCTTTAATGGGGCCAGGCGCAGGTTGTTACCCAGAACGCAGTACGTTATATTTCCCTCTGTGACTCTGTTGAACTGTTAATAACTCGGCCTCATTGTCACTAAATGTTCCTCTGTGAGATGTTTAACTTTTTCAACTCGTGCCCCTTTACACTCACAGACAGCAGCGTTTATAGCAGAGCTGCAAATACTGATTTCTACCTGCAGAGTGTGAAAGCAGTTTGAGTCGGTGTGGCGAGCACAGGCCGAACGTAACGCCGGAAATTCAACTCATAGAGCCCCAAAAACACATTGATTCTGCTTTTTATTAGCTTTTATTTCAATGTGTCTGCGTTCATATGCAGATACATGCTTTTATTTCAATGTGTCTGCGTTCATATGCAGATACATGTTTACTGAAATTAGCCTAAATGCATCTATATCGAGATTCTCGTGCATCAAGTAGCAAATCGCACCGCAGAGGAAGTCACAGCCCGGATATCTACGCCATTATTTCATGCATATGTTCTTTATGAGAATCGCACCACATCGCCTTACAGTACACAACATACTGTGTGACAAAGACACATTTCCCCTCAGGGATAATAAAGTTAATTCTATCTCAACATTTTGTTCTCTTCTGTGAAAAAATGTAAAGTAAATTATCTAATAGAACAACAGCCAAGTGTCAGGGAGAAAGAAAACAGAACTTCATTAAGTCTGTTTGATTGTTAAAAATGAAAATAATTGTATAAAAAGTTCTTTAAAAAGGAAATAATCTGCTTACATTCATCCAAATCTCTGGTTTTACACAAACTTCCTGCAGTTACTGAGTTCACTGTACAGATTAAATCATATAATGTGAAATATCCATAAAATCTGAGTCAGTTTATTAATGATACAAAAAGGTTCCTTAAAGAAGAAGATTTGGGAAACACTATTAAAACTGTGACGATGAGACATTTGTTGGACATGTTTTCTTACATCTGGAGAACAAGATGTTTAAGCAGCACTGCAGTATATATATATATATATATATATATATATCACATTTCACCTTTAGCAAAAAGAACTGCAGCTTCTGCAACTTGGATATTTCACTTGGCCGTGTTGTGATTAATTGTGCAGCCCTATGTTATGCACATAAAAAAACTGTATTCACTAACGTCTGATTCTAGTTTTATCCACAACTTCCCACTCAGGTTGTTTTATGCACAAAGAAAGCAGATGGATGGAGCGCCAGGCCCGACTGGATAAAGACAGCAGCAGTGAAAGTGGGTTGATGCATTAAAGGGTTAACAGCTGTACCTGCAGGGTAGCAGCTTTCAATCTAATCTCACGCTCTTCATTATCATATTGTTCCTTAAGGTCAAGAATTAACACCCACGCACGACTCAGCTTTGCTCAAAAGCCACAGAGTACTCGAGTACTGTTGCAGTTCATCTTCTGATGGCCATAGAGTTATAATCCTCAATCGTGATCACAGTATTGATCAAAACCATCAGGATTATGGCTTCAATCCTCATCCTACAGCTTCAGAGTAATACAGAGAGTGCAAACAGGCCGGAAACCTTCCAGGTTCGCAGCATTTGTGCGAAATGGTCACTTCCTTTAACAGACGCCAATACACATAAACAGGAAGTAACAAATACAGCGGTCTCCCTTCCTCACATCTCCGCTTTGAAGGTGAAGCGGTTAAAAACCAGCCGAGATGGCGAGGAGAAACTCAAGCATCAGAGCTCTGCTGGAAGGAGGCGGAGCTGGCGAAGCAGAGCTGGAAACGTTGGCATCTGAACTGTTTCAGCAGCCAGTAAAGTGTTTACAACAGAGCGGCTGCTCCAGCTGACGGCTGCTTCCTGTCAGAGCCGCTGATCCTTTCCACACCGCCGCTATATTTAGAGCACTTCAAAGCACAAATTAAAACTGATTTACAAGTTTTTGTGGCTCCAGTTTTGGCACTAAATGCTTGTTTATCGCTGTGGTGGTTTTAACTGCAGCTACGAGTCCAAAAAGCACAAAAACACTGAGCTGTAACGGCACAGGAGGACGGGATGATCAGGATGGATTCTGGGTCATTTTCATTATTGATTTTTAGCTGATTATTTTCTTGACAGTAAGAAACGTCCATCAGAGTTTCACAGAGCTCAAGGTGACGTCTTCAAATGTCAGTCCAAAACCCAAAATGTATTCAGATTACTGATAGGAAACAGATACAAGCAGCAAAACCTCACATGACCAAAGATTAATGACAATTAATTATTAAAACTGTTCTTCAACCAGTCCACTAACTGTCTAAACTCTGCTGTCAGTTACTTTGAACTTAAAGCAGAAGCTGGTTGGAGGAGCTGGGATGAACCGACACCAATCGTACCAGTTTCAGTTACTTTAATCAGAAAACTGCGTCAGTGTTACTTTACAGCGGCGCCTCGTTAGTCGTCATTATCAACATTTAAATTTGTTACAGTCAGAAATTTACCCAAATGTAAGCACTTGTATCGGTGCAGCCTAGTAACAGGGTTTCTGCAGGTTTAATTGAACTGACACTGAACTAATGGTTGGCTCTGGGTAGCAGTTAGTGCATTAATCGATGATAAAATAATAGATCATAAAACATTTGCTGCAACCCTGAACTTGAAGAGTGGAGGAGCAGACTTCTTCCTCCTGATATTTACAGAAACTGGTTTCCAGTTGAGGCGACGGTGAAGCTTTTAAAAAGATCCACCTGCTGCAGATCAACTGTAAGATGTTTGAAAATGTTCTGCTAAAACTTCCCCGTGTTTCCTCTGTTTGATGTCAGTAATCTGAGCTCGTTCTGTGGTGTTCACCAGTAAATCAGGACACTGACTTACACATAACGCTGCTGCAATTAAGTGAAACATTTCCAAATACCGGCAAAGATTTTCATCATACATCTGTAGTGAACTCCACTGTGTTTGTGTTTGAAGAGACTCTGGTTGTCATTAACTCTTCCCACCCAGTCTGAGAATTCAAACTAAAATTCCTAAAAGTGAGGAAAGCTGACAGTTGACAGTGCCGAACATCAGCGGCTCCGCAAGAATCTAACATTTCTATTGAAGTTTGGTACTTTCGCCCTGTTTTTGTCTGTTTTAAATCACAGATCCACCAACAGGATAACTGTTAGTAAAGGCAGATATAGAAACGTCTCTTCCTCTGTCTGGCTGCTGCAGGGCATCTAAAAACTGGTTGAACTGGTTGAACTGATTGAACTTGTCCAGCCTTTACATCGCAGTTATGGAGCTACAGTTGTAAAAATGAAGGTAGTTCCTCAACCTCAAGTTCCTGCTAACTGTGAGTAGCTACAGGACGGCTACAGGCTTCTATCAGTTGTGATTAGATAACTGAACCTTGACATTTCTCTGCTGACATGGCATCTTGTTACCTATCTGTTATTTTTACATTGTAAAACAGTCAGTACACATCTGGGTCACTACAGACACCTGCAGTGGTGAGGTTAGCTACAATCGTCCTGGTTCCTTCAACTAAAAGCCAATGGGACTTTTCCATATCTATGTGCAAACAAACTCATAATAATGTTATGGATTTATGTCAATAAACAAACATGGGCTGATGTGTTTCTTATTGATATCGGCTTTAAAAGGCCAGTATCAGTGAGGCTCTGGACATCAGCCAATCCTGGAAAAGAGCGACGCCCACAAACACCATTTCACAGCAGCACCTATTGTCGACACTACGGATTATTTTCTTGATAAATAGATAAACTGCTGGCTGTATAAAATGTCAGTTTGTAGTGATATAAAACAGAGAAAACCCTTTAAAAAGTGGATCAACTGTAAAAACAAATCATTTCAGCTCTAGTTGCATAATAAATGCAACCTTAAAAAAAAGAGACTAAACCTCCTCAGACCTCAAGATCTGAACCTGTGAGACCGGCGTGACGTGATGTTTGTCTGCAGCCCAACCGCCGCCGTTAGTTCCACTTTCCCCTACGTGGGTGTGATGCGAGCTTTAACCGGCTGCCGTGGGAATAAGCTCTGTAAGAAAACAGCCGGCTGCATGTAAACACGCTTTAACGCTCGGCTGGCTGCTTCCAAAACTTTCCAGGCGGATAAACGTTGATGGTGTGGCGGCGGCGGCGGCTGATCCACCTGCTGCAGGACGGTCTGCGGGGACGGCAGCTCAGATAAACAGACCCTCCCGTCCCCCTGTGACAGCGACTGCATCACCTGAACCTGACGTGAAGCTTCATGCCTGGACAAGAACTGAGTGTTTTGTATGTGATGGGATCATTTGAACTCCAGCTGTGGACCGTGTGCCAATAAACGGTGCCCTGTGTGCCGTGGAGAGTTGTTTTCCTGCATATTAATCCTTTATTTATTCTTTTGTTCTTCAGATGATCCAAATAGTTTGAGGTTTTAGTGGTGAAATTTACTGACCCATAATATTTTATAGGCATAAAAGTGGTTTCATAAAATGTTCCAGAGGTTGGGAAACAAACACTTTTTGATTTTTGTTGGCACAGAAACGACAGCTTTTAAAGAGAATTATAAAAATATCTAAAGACTGAGATCAACGCTGAAACTATTGGTTGATTGGTTAATTATTGGTTAATCACTACTTTTTCCCTCAGTGTCCTGCAACCGTCCCGGCTGTAACCATCATTGTCCCAAATTAAACACGATTCACTCTGGTCTGCACACTTATATCTGAATAAAACATTAAAACCCTCCTCTGCGTTTGGTCGTCA